CGCAGTGGATTTGGAACAACACCAACAAGTTGCATTTCTATAGTGCCCTTCATTCAGGGTAGCGTCCCTGAGCGCTTGACAATGGCGGAGTCTAACCCTGAGCCAGGGGGAGGACGGAGGGGGGAGGTGGCCGTAAGCACCATCAAAAAGGAAGGTCTTGGGGATTAGGCGGATTTGGCATGGGTGGGAAGAGATTGCACGGATAGGGAGGGCGAGACCTTGGGAGGGATTTGCAAGGCAGGAGGTGGATTTTAAAAGCCAGTTTTTGATAAACTCTAACATTCACTCAAACAGAAATCTGTGCTGGTGATTGAAAATCAGATTGTGCCCGGTTCACTCGGTAGATTTCTTTGCACTTGCGGGTGCCCAAGTCAGAAGGATGAACAGATGGGAGATAATCAGCGGGCAGATATTCCAGGTCCCACTGCATAAGCGAAGATGTGATCGGGTGTAGCTGCAGGATCTGTACTGCAATACCACGATTGCTGCAATGTAATTATTGATGACGTGATTGTTTTGAGGAGGAATAAAAGGAGTCATTACTGCCCATATTATAGAATTGCGCCGGGCTCAGTAACAAAGCCACATTCAGACTGTTGCATCTTTTCAAAAATATTGCTCTGTGTGCATGTGTGTGTGTGTGTGCATGTGTTGTGTGCATGCGTGTGCAGGATTTACACTTGCCGAAGCATACAATGGGATGCGTACTGCAATTGCTTTTGGTTTTTAACATAACAAGCTCAGCTTTGTCTTGCAAGGCAGCAGTGATGCTTAGATTTTCTTTTTTTGTGTGGATGAATTATAGTCTAGTTCTAACCTTTTTGATCAGGAATGATAACTTGAAAGCATTTGTTACAGCCTATTTTGGCTACCCATCAATAACTGGATTGCTGCCATCCACTAATGCAAACTCCCTGCTGTGAGTATATATGGCTGAGGTTTGATTCTCCAAATGAGTTGCATTTTCTCAGTGCAATGACTTAAGCAACATATTTATCCACAATTTGGACTATATAAAGCAGGCAAAACAACAGTTGTGTGTTTTTTTAAAAAAGCACCAAGAGCCATAAATAGTAGCAAAAAAACATAAATGTACTTACAGTGACCAGTAGTTAGTCAATTGACGGATCGCTTTTCCGGAGATAATAATTTGTTCTAAAAATATAATAATATAATACATTGGTCACTCAATCCGATACTGTTTGTGGGACACTGCTGTGCGCAATTGGCTGCCAAGTTTCGGCCACGAAATATACAGTTAATTCACTTTACATTATATTCTGTGAAGCCCTTTGAGACGTCTCGATGACGTGTTAAGGCGCTACAACAAATGCAAGGATTAGTATTCTTATGATTTTGTTGTAATCTCCTGAATTGTTCCACAGAAATAATAATTCTTGCATTTAAGGGTAAGTTTGCTAACAGTTCAGGAGATGATTTCTTGTTAATTTTTNGCATTTAACCTGCACTTCAGACTTCAGTTCGAAAAGCTGACTGAAAGTAAGGTCGAAAAGATAAGGCCCTTTGGCAAGTTTTAAAGGTGGGAAAAGGGAGGCGAGGTGGATGGATTCTAGGATGGAGTTCCAGAGATCCCTCGTCATCCAAACCAAATCTTCATCCCACATTCCGTCCACCTCACCTCCTCCCTTGCCTCCTTCAAGACCTGTCTGAAGACCTTCCTCTTTGACCGTGCCTTCGGTCACCCTCCTACTCCTACCCTTCCCCCCCCTCCACCCCTCCTGATCCCAACCACCAGCTCAGGTGCGGTTCCCTGACTGTCCAGCGCCTTGGGACGTCCTCCTGACGTGAAAAGCGCAATACAAATGTAATTTATTGTTGTTGGTGTTGTGATCTTCTTAAGTAGGGCAGAATGGCTGTAAATTTGCCCTTCCCCCCACATTGGCGTGAAAGTGGGCAGTGTGAGTTGAGCAGAGAGCGCGTGGCCGGTAAGTTGCGGGAGGACGCAGGGATGGAGTAGGGCGAAGCCATGGAGGGATTTCAATGTGAGGACACCTCGATGTAGAGCAAAAGTTCCCTGTTGTTACGTTTTCCACTTCCCTCACCAGCCAGCCTTTCGGCCTTTCTCGAATGAGAGTACCAATTTAGAGCCAAATTGTTCTGAATTATAGACAGTTTTGTGCTCTGTACTATGTAATGTGACAGCCCTATACTCATTTCAAATGCAACCCTTACAGTCAGCAAAAGAGACTATTATTCTGAGTTTGATGCACATTTGCTTTTATTTATATTTCTGAACATCTGTAATTTAGCCTCATTCATTCACCCTTTTGCCAGGTGATCTTTCCCCCATTCTGCTTTGTACACGGCTTTGCTGAGGTTTGACGGCTTTTCTTAGTTCCCTTTCTCTCTTGTTTGGCTGTACCTTTGACTGCTGTCTGTACACACCAGGAAAAGGTATCCTTTCATCGTTTACTGGTTGTTTGCATCTCTATAATTGCCATCTGCTTTAAAGTGTTGATTTGTAGGGAGGAACACCTTGTTCCGATGAATCTGTTAGCAAGTTAGTGCACTTGCTATCAGAATAGCAGGAAATATGATCTTAAATCATTCTCTATTCCAATTACAGTGTAACATTGTTAACCTTGAAGGAAATTTAATCTTTCGAACTGAAAGCATGGTACAGCTCAACTTCGTAAGATACTGTTTGTAAGCCAGTGCAATACGATATTATGTCTGGAGTGCTCCCAGTCATGGACTCGGGACACTGTTTTGCTTTACTCTCAGTTTCCTGTATCAAGTTTAACATGTACAGATTATCGCCTGTTACTCTCAATCTGTTCAGGATATTTCTTTCTGCGGTATAGTTCCTTGAATGCAGACGCCCTCGCTCAGTTTCTTCCGTCGCTGCTTCGCTCTGGACGTGACCTCCCTCTTGTGTAGCGTCTTCTGACAGCTGCCATTCTGAATGCTATAGATGCTTTTCATTTGTTTCTGCTTTTTTCCATCTGTTTCCCTCCTCTCGCCACCCCCACCCCCACCCCACCGATCATTATTTTTTACTGCTCGCATTCTCCCATTTCTTTTGCTGATGTTGTGTCTCTAATCCAGTCCCTCTGCAGTCCGTTTCTTCATCCAGGCAGATTTTGATCTCCCCCACCCACCCACTCCGTTTCTGCCTGGAGAAAGGAGGTACGCAACAAAACCCCCTGTTGCTTTACTATAGGATCCGTTAACGAGAGAGAGAGAAAAAAATTCAACTACACCATGATTGTGGAAAAGTAGAAGTCAGAGGAAACTGAATTCTGCAACTTGGTCGATTTTTTTTCTACGGAATAATAATAATAATCATCATTGCATTTGATACAGCTCCTAGTCACATTTTCGAGACGTCTCAAAGCGTTTCGCAAAATTCACTGCGAAGTGAAATAAATCACTGTGGGCGAAAATATGTCGCATGAAGTCACGTGAATTATTTTTAATTTGACATGAAAGCCACTTGAAACTACATGTTGAATTCCCACTGAGAATTAAAATTCTGCCCGTGGCAAAATCCGAAAATCATTTGCTAGAAATCAACTTCAACTTGGCGCTCACAGTTTTCCTTCTTCCCTCCTACTGGCAGCCTTTAAATTGGGATTGGAACAAAAGGCTGTTACACACCAATAGCTAGAGAAATGTTCCCGTCAGGAGCGGGAGAGAGAAGAATAAAACAACCCTGTTCTGATGTGATGCCACACAACTAGATGTGCACAAAAGGAGACCTGCTTCTGAGCCCACCACATGGGGGGGAAATCATCTGAGCCATGATCGGGAATAATTTTCATTTAGGAAAGATTACCAGAGTTTGTCATGTTAAGAGTATTTCCCGTTCAATAATGTTCAGTGTGAGAGCCTAATACTCAAATAATATATTGCCAATCCATTTAGCCGCAGTGTTGTTAAATGTACTTGACATTGGCACATTTTAACAGATTGATTCTTGGTAATGACTTTTAACAATGTATTATTGTCTGACAAGGAGGGGTAGCATTTTCAGACTGCACATGTATGTTTTGGGGAGCTAGTATCTTATGTTATGCAAACCAATTAATAGGAGCGTTCACCAGAACAGTACATTTATAAATGCTGTGTCTTTGCTGAAAGGGAGATTATAAAATAATGAGTGGAACAGAGTTGGAAAAAGCTGTGCTATGATGAAATCACCACCCATAACAAAATCGAATCTATTTGCAGAACCTATTTGCAAAATCGAACTGTTTGCAGTACAGGAAAATAATTATCTTGAATAAAATATCCGGACCATCCATTTCTTATCTGCATAAACTTTCACTGCAAGTTGGTTGTCGCACGTTAGTGACCTTTAAGCTGTGTAAAATTCGCCAGAATATGTTGCACAACCTTTATTGTGCTTCCAAAACTCACCGGATGATTTGGAGCTGCTATCTGTACATAATGGATTTCTTGAAACGAAAAGAACCCACTGCATCTCGTCAGTGAGCAAGCTATACAATCACTCCTCCTGATTCAAAAGAAGCTGATGTAGTTTCGTTAGACCAATTTGAATTCTGAGGGGAAACTGTGTGGACGCAGCCTGGCAACTACGCAAGTTGAGTTTAGATATTTAAGGAGACCAGACTCTCTGTCTTGAATTATATTCCCGATTCGTAGTGTAAAAAATCATGGAATTAAAAAAATCTTTCATTCATCAAGTCGGTTTCTTCCACAGACAACAAACTACTCTCTTTGCACACTTCATTCCAGCTATCTCCTAGCACAAAGATCTGCATAAGTACTCGCTGATAGTCAAATATCACACAGAAAACATCCTCTTTCTAGGACACTGTGGCCTTTGAAGGGTGGTTTTAATATTGCAGTATTCAGACCTCATTGTAGAAATGTCTATTGGAAAATCAATGTTTGTTTATACAATTATTTTAGAATATTTTAAGATATGTTAAAACCATGTCTGAACACAGAAAGTGACACCATTTTGACCTCTGTCTTCTTTGAACTAATACCACCTTCCTTTTTTTTTGTAGGCAGGATGAGATTTAGCTAAAAGTACCAATGAAGAAATCCTTTTCAATCCAATCACCCCGATTCCAGGCAGCCAACAATATAGTGACCAGCAAATTGCGGATTACGGTACTTAGCAAACTGTTGAAAAACAATTACTTAAGGCCAAATTGGCTAATTAGAGGAATCAAATTATTGTCTTGGATGAATCTTTTCTAAGTTTCTACGTGTATTTCATTATATATCTATATCAACTGTGAGATTGTGTTTAACATTTTAAGAATAGAGCATCTATTTCTGAAAACTGCAAGAAATTTAAACAATGTACAATGCTAAAAATCAACTGCAGTGCACTTTCAGTTTTTAAGATTAAATGATGCTTAATAAACTCCTGCTATATATTAGAATATCCCATGAGAAAAGTATATAAATGAATCAGATGCTTAAATATATTTCGTTTGAATTTGTGTGCAAAACAACGATTGTATGGTATGCTCAGAATTAATGATTTTATGCTTGAGCAATGGGTTAATCTTTGTTCCGCTTTTTGTAGGTCTTTGTGCAAAATAATTGCATATTCATTTTAATTTTCGATTAAAGAATAATGATGTTATCTCATAGACATACTGGGATCCAACAGACTCCCATTGCAAAAAAAAAGGTATCTTATAAACAAGTAGTGAAAAGAGAAATTATTTTAGTGATCAAAGCATGATAGATCCCATTTTCTTTTGCTCTCAATCACCCGAATGTGTTGTCACATTGTGTTAATTCAAATACCGTGTTATTCCTTTCTAATTTAGCTAATAACCTTGTCAAAATAAAATTTTATATAATGCTCCTTTTGTACAAATAATGGCAGTTCAGTCTCTTAATTTCCAGTTTTTGTTTTGAAGAATATTTATTAAAGAATTATTCTTGCTCGTTGTACACTGCATGAGAACATAACTGAGAGCTGAATACACCTGTCCAGAGACCAGTTTACTTGAAGTGTGATTTTTGCTCTAAATATAAAACATACTTATTAATGAGACATTTCCATCAGTACAGTCTAAGGTATGAGAGAATAGCAACTACCATTAAATCTAGCATCTGTCATTTTGATTCAATTTCTTTCATTTTTACTTAACTGGTTTAACTATAAAATATAGGGGTATTATATCCATTCCTAAAATTACACAATATTAGTAATTACAAAACGATTTTGTTCACCACATATTTACGTGGAGTTATTCGAGTTCATATGATCGCTTAACAAATCAAAATACATATAAATTACTCTTCTAATAATGAAAGAATGGTTACCACAGCAAAAAAATGGGCTACTTAAATTTCTGTAAACCAAACTATGATACCATTTGAATGGAATTACGTAACTATCCACAACCAGCTTTCTTTCTTCATCTGAATTTTTTAAAATTAAATCTGAAAAGAAAAGGTCTATAATTTGAACAAGGATATTTCCACTGTTACATCCTGTTCACTGTAAGTAAAAGAACATTTTCAATGAACAATTTTGTGCTATCTTTAGAGCTGCACAGAATTCCTGAAGTTGCGTTTAACTTTCTGGTTCAGCTTCAGGTTCTGGAATCTCTTTGGCGACGACAGGAAATTGATGCTTGGATACACGACCTGCAAAAAATAACAAATTAACACCAAATAACGTTGAGGTACAGATTCTAAATGGACGATATAAGCAAAGAATTCCCCCAAAAGTTTGCTATGCATTTACTGAACTTTTGATCTGCCAGTCTTAATTACTCTTCGCTGACACAGTATTGTAAGCAAATACTAGGCACACGGAACACTGGCTGCAACCGGAAAATCTAATGCATTCAACATTTACAGCTGTGTGGACTGCAAATTCAATTATAATAATGCTGGCGTTCAAATTAGGAGACGGGTATTGATGTGAAGGTACTAAATTCAGCAGGACAATAATAAAATGAGCATTGATATAGTCTGCTGATTGAAACCAATTGGTATTTATGTGTGCATCCAGTACCATTAAGTTGTCAGTTACGCGGACCAGTGCAGTTTTTTGCCAGATGCTTTCTTTTCTTTTGGACAGAGTGTGGTTTGCTGACTCTCAGGATTCTCATTCCCTCCAGCTGAGCAATTTTTCTTACTCCTCCCACAATCTTTGTCTCCCATTCTCTACAGACTGAAAGGGAATAAAATGAAGCAGCCCATACCCAATGCTCCCCTGTGGGCCAATTCTTCCTCTATAGCCAGCAGACGGTTGTATTTTGCCACCCGCTCGCCATGATGTAGACCTCCCAGTTTGATGAGGCTAGCCCCTAGAGCAACAGCCTAAAGGAATAAATACTGACAATCGTTAGGGGGGGAGGGGGCTAGTTGAGGGGAGGGTGTTATAAAACTGAAGAGAAAACCTAATTAATAATGATCACTTTAAATTGTAATTAGTGATGGGAGTTCTGTTTGAAAACCGTATTGTTACACGGCAGGTTCTTTTTTATAGATCAATCTGGTACAATATGGTTTACATATTGTAGAAAGTTCAAACCGCAGGTAAAGAAACCTCCCTTGTGCAGGGATTGGCTGCCGCGTTTCGCCCACAAATATGCAGTCAATTCACTTTACAGAATAGTCTGTGAAGCGCTTTGAGACGCCTCGAAGGACCTTCTTCATTCTTAATCTCCATGAGGGATCTTATTCCCCACCAAGGGGTTAAAATGATACATTGATGATTAATGATGTAAATTGATATAGCTGTTTTTTGCTCGTCCCACTGATATATTTGAGGTTCCGTTCCCTGTTCGAATCTTTAACTCAAGTACTGTTAGTTTTCTGGACTTTCCATAACTCCCAAAGTGTCTGATGATTAAAGGTGCAAAGAAAAATAAGATAACCATCATTAGAATGGAGAGGCATGATGATCTTTTATATTATAATAATAATAATAATCCTTGCATTTGATATAGCGCTTTTCACGTCTTCTAGACGTCTCAGTTGCTTACAATGTCAGCTAAACTGTCATCGGCGGTCTCTCCCTCGGTGCAGCCAATTATAAATCTACGATCTTGCTCTGCAACAAAAAGTGGGTTTTAGGTTTGAGCTTCAGCCACTCTAGCACTTTGATCTTTGTACCTCTTTGTAAAGCGTTTCGAGATGTTATTGTATGTGAAAGACAGTGGTGTCCACCAGGGGTCAATATTAGGCCCACTGCCCTTATTGATCTTAATAAATGACCTGGACTTGGGTATAGGGAGCACAATTTCCAAGTTTGCAGATGATACTAAGCTGGAAAAGTAGTAAACGGTGAGGATAGCAGAAGACTGCAAGAGGATATAAACAGACCGGTAAAGTGGGCAGACAAGTGGCAGATTAAATTTAATGTGGAGAAATGCGAAGTGATGCATTTTGTGAGGAAGAATGAGGAGAGACAATATAAGCTGATGGGACAATCTTAAATGGGGTGAAGGAACAGAGAGACCTGGGGGTTCATATCAGTAAATCTTTGAAGGAGGCAGGACAGGTAGATAAAGCTGTTAAAAATCATACGGGATATACGCTTTGTAAATAGATCATAGAATACAAAAGTCAGGAAGTTATGATGAACCTTTATATAAACACTGGTTAGGCCTCAGCGAGAGACTGTGTTCAGTTCTGGGTACCACACTTTAGGAAGAATGTCAAGGCATTGGAGAGGGTGCAAAGATTTACCAGGATGGTACCAGGAATGAGGGACTTCAATTATCAGGAGAGGTTAGAGAAACTAGGATTATTCTCCTTGGAGCAGAGAAGGTTAAGAGGAAACTTAATAGAAGGTTTCAGAATGATGTGTTCAATATTCAGGGATCAGAGCTCCATTAACTTCATTGTTTGTGATTTGATCTGTATCATAAAATTGCAATAATGAATTATTACTAGATTTAGTCATATTTGGGGGAGTATTTTTACTTTTTAATCTGGATTATTACACAATATGCAGAAAACTAAAAAGATTGAATAAATTATGACAATAATAACAAACAGCCAACAGCAATAACGAGAAGCTAAGACATTATAATTACTAATTCGTAATAAAAAATACTAAATATCAGATTAGATATTAATAAGTGCTGTTGAGTAGTAGTTTCTTACTGTTAAGTAAGTATGCTCTTGAGTTTCTGGTTATCATCCCTAATAGAATTTATGAAGTTTATTAATTACTTTGACACCGATCCACATAACATAATATTTTTCTGAATTGAATTAAATTGTATAGGAAACCAAATATTCTCAATTTTTGTCACTCACCTTCTATCACTTTAGTTACTTCAGTGAGGTCAGTTAGTGTGCATTGGTTAGCGTATTTCAAGACCAAACAAGTGGAATTGACTCCATTGAGATTTTGCTCTGCTGTGAGCTTGACCATTGATTTTGATGCTACATCAGCTATGAGATAACATTGGGAACTAAAAGCACTGCACAGTGAAATCCACTGTTCAACATCCTAAGCAAAATAATAAAAAAAAACTTAGTTGTAAGGAGATTTCTAAAAAGATATACATTCAACATATTCAGTATCTTCGACCGTGCCTACGGCCACCCTCCTACCCTCCACCTTTCCCAATCCCAACACCAGCTCGGGTCCAAATCCCTGACTTGCCAGTACCTTGGGACATCCTCCAGACTGAAAGGTGCTATACAAATGTGATTTTGTACTGCATATATGTAGCAATGAGCATTTCTATAAAACATGCAATTTATCTTAAACTGACATTGAAAAAAGTATATGCCACAATAGGTCCTATATTACATTTTTAAATAGAAACTTTCAATTTACGGTTCTTTGCACTTTGAATTGACCACAATATTTCTTAAGCTTAGATATACAGCATTCATAAATAACTGTTTCATTTAATCCACGTTCAATTCTCATTTGACCAAAGTTCAACTCGTCTAAATAATTTGAATTCACAAATACTAACCTCTTTTCGTAAAGGATCTATCAAACCAATAATTGATGGGTATTTGGCAATCAGGTTCTCATACACTTCCATCATTTCATCAGGATGTTTTAGTACTCCACTCATAATTTCATATTTCTCCTTGGTCTAGAAAGTTAAAAAAAAATTCTCACCTTCAATTCAACCATAGCTGAGGTCATTGTATAGAATGGTAATAGGTACAAGGTCAACTGAATCACACTTGGCATATATCTACAGCATAAAACCAGAAAGAAAGAAATTGTATGTTTTTAATGCTTCAATCTAGAGTTGCTGTTTTTGTTTTTTAACAAAAATCATAGATAATATTAACATTTATTTTAACTTTTTTTCAAATGTGTTTTTGATTTTTAGCAATCTTTTCGACTACAAATATTGTATAGTGGCCATTATTTCTGCATTGTGCATGCATGCTATACACAGGCAGCCCATTTGACATCACGTACTGAGTGCACAAAATATTTAAAAAGCTACATTCAAAAATGGGAATTAATTGTGTGCAATTTAGATAAAATTATAAAAAGCCAACAAAGACTTATTCTCTTTTTTAGCAACTAAAAGCTTATTGATAACCCTAAAATGCCGCAACAAGTTAAACTTCACAGATAACTATAATCCTTATAACAATCCTTGCATTTGATATAGCACCTTATCACGTCTTCGAGACGTCTCACAGTACTTCACAGAATATGCTGTAAAATGAATTGACTGAATGTTTTGTGGGTGAAACACAGCAACAAATTGCGCACAGCGGTGTCCCACAAATAGTGGTGGACTGAGTGACCAAATTATTCTTTTTACATTCAAGTAGTGATAGGTTTCATAGGCACCAGCAGTAATCTTTTTGCACACAGTAAAGTCAACTGGTGAAAACAAGGTCACATTCATTCAGCACAGGGCACGCGACTGGGGTTTAATATTGAGGCACATTATTGGTCTGAGGAAAGCTTTCAAAGTGGATCATTTCTTACTAGGAAGCACTCACTTTGGAACGTGTGTGTTGAATAAAGTGATCATGAATAACAATATTAGAAGGGAAGTTTTTTCTCTTTTAATTTTAAACTTGCATAAATGTATTGCATGGTAGAGAAGCATAAAGTTAACTCACATAATCCATCAGTTCATGAGCAGCACAATTGATAATCAAATGGAAGTCTTCCCCTAGCGTTAATTCAAGTGCAGTGCATGCTTCCTCGATTATTTCAAAAGGCTGTTCCAGTCGATCACATGCTTTAAGTACACAGCCAGCACTAGACAATACTTCACGCTAAATAGTGTAGAGACATTATTTCAGTTAAAAATTTCTGTTACCTCTGAAAGATTTAACTCCATCAAAAAAATACTAGACGCTTCCTCTATTTTAATCTTAACACAAAATAAATGTGAGAATCAATTTATTCTTAGCTGAATATGATTTCTTGATTGTATTGTGATGACTGATAAATGTTACAGCTACATACTGTATTTACTATATTCTTACCAAATTTCTTTGTGGTGGTATTGACAACATTAGAATTTTTTGGTGAAGATCGATCATCATTTTAAGACCCTGCAGGAGAATGATTAAATCGTTAAATTATTTCTGAAAGAGCAACAGTGCAGAATAGAGGAAAGGACCTTGCAATTATTTAGCGCCGGGAGAAAATCCCTTCTCTTTTCAAGAGAAATGCTCTGGAATCTTTCACGCCTAACTGAACTGGTAGACAAGCCCTTGGTTTAACATCTCACCCAATGGACAGCACCTCTAAAAATACATTGGAGGGTCATCTTAGATTATATGAATTCAAAGTCCTGACATGGGGCATGAACCTACAACCTTCTGACTCGAAGGTGAGAGTGTTACCAACTGAGACAGGGTGATTGTAAGCAAACCATTTGCAGCAGAGGATCCCAACTCCCTTGGGTGAAAACCCCTTCACTGTCCAGCATTTTGGGACTTCCTCCCAACCTGACACTATACAGATGCAATTTGCCGTTTTTAATGAGCAGTCCCACAAACAGCTGTGAGGTAAATGATCAATTTATCTAAAGGATTATTCACAACCAGGTAAAGACGTGTGATAAGAATGTGATAATGATTTACCTGTTTAAAACTGAGACCAGGTTTTGGAACGCCTATCATTTCCTTGATTAAGCATAGTTTTCCTCCAGATGATATCCCACAATTAAACAAACTTATCATAGGAATCGGAATTCGCATTTCTTTTGGGGATTCCTTAAATAAGAACAAAGATTTGGAGCTCTAGAAAGTCGTGCTTGAAACATATAAAAAAATACACTAAATCTGTTTTTTGTTGTTGAATAATTTCTGGATTGAGCAAAGCCCCTTCCGTCCCCTCTTCCCCTTACCCCCATAACTTCAGCACAATAGTTTTATCCAAAGCCTTTTTTAAAAAACTTCGATTGTCATATCGGATACCGAACAGTAGAGACTATCTGCAGTCGAACATATGTCACCAAAGGGTACTTATCAGTCACTGTCTACATATTTCACTGAAAAATACCATTTTACTTGTACCCAGAAAATGTAATGCAAAGTATGCTACAAAACATTACCATGAAATCTGGTATACAAGTCAAACATTGGAACCTGAAAATCAATTTATGAACCACACACATTAAGCTGTTCTTTTCTGTTCAGCTACATGACTTAAATGTTGCTGGTCCACGCCTTTGTCACCTCAAGGCTGGACTATGGGAACTCTCTCCTCGCCGGCCTTCCTGGCACCTCCCTCCACACTGCAGGTCATTCAGAACTCTGCAGCTCGTGTACTGTCCCACACCAGACACCGCGACCACATCACTCCCACCCTCGCCCTCGCTCGCCCCCACTGCTCCCCATCCCCCAGAGGATTGATTTCAAGATCCTCATCCTCACCTACAAGGCCATTCACGGCCTCGCTCCCTCCTACCTCTCCAACCTACTATCCCCCTACCTACCTGCCCGTACCCTCTGTTCCGTACCGGTCTGCTCCACGTCCCCCGCCCCAATCGCCCTACCATCGGTGGTCGGGCCTTCAGCCTCTCAGCCCCGAGGCTCTGGAACTCCATCCCCCAGTGCCTTCGCCGCCTCCTCCCTTTCCTCCTTCAAGGCCGGTCTCAAAACCTTTCTCTTTGACCGAGCCTTCAGCTCCCCTCTCGACTCTCTTCCCCCTCCTCGCTCCCTCCCTTCCCTCCCCTCACCCTGACATTTCCCCCCTCCTTGCTCCCTCCCTTCCCTCCCCTCACCCTGACCATTTCCCCCCCTCCTCGCTCCCTCCCTTCCTCCCCTCACCCTAACCATTTCCCCCCTGCTCAGATCATGACCCAACTGTGCAGCGCCTTGGGACGTCCTCCTGACGTGAAAGGCGCTTTATAAATGGAATCTTGTTGTTGTTGTTGTGGTGTGTGACTGATGCAATTCATAAATTACAGTACTTACACTTTTTAACCAAATCAACACATTACATTTAAATTCTAACAAATGTACTATCCTCGTACCTGTTGATTCATTGTGGACATATACATATACAGGGGGATGTTTTTGAGTTTGGCCACTGTTTTTGCAAAGACTAGTGATACTGCACCAAAAGCCACACTACCAGGGAGCACCAGTTCTGGTGGCTCAAATGGTGTAATTGGCTTCTCCACAGCAACACTCTTCTTGCCTAAAAAGCAACAAGTTATAAACGTAAGTTGATCTATTTCTGAAAAAAAATCCAACATATTTCTGAAGTAAAACTAAGTTTTAGAAAGAAAATTATTTTAATGGTGAGAGCTTTGCTACTATCGTTTTAAAATCAAGAGAAGTAACAAGTAAATATTAATAAAAATCCTTGTTTGATATAGTGCCTTGTCATGTCTTTGAGATGTCTCAAAGCACTACACAGAATAAATTGTAAAGTGTAGTGACTTTTATTTTGTGGGCGAAAACACAAGTTTAAGACATTTTCCTTTGGCTATTTTGAATTAATTTTTTTAAAATTTATTTGCCCACAATGAAATTATTAAAGTTTATGGGCATTGAAATGTTAACACCTGGTGCTCAGCATATTTCATTACAGAAATCCTTTTTACATTTGAAATGATGTAAATTTACATTTGAAATTGATTTTCATCAAATACATTTTTCCAGACATTTACACTTACTATGCTTCTCAGTTCACCTATTTTCAAAGTTGACATTGAGAGATTCATCTGCAGATGATTCAGTGTCAATAGCTGATTGGGCATTTAGATGAAATGGCACGGACATTGTAGGGATACCCTTTAATTTTGCATGATTTCAATTTTTATCAGTTCTTCCTTATTTGTTCAGTTTCATGTTCCCGTAGAGTCAAAATAAAGTTCACATGGGCCAAATGAATCTTTAAGTAATTTGTATCATTTCACCTCCATACTGGTCAGTTTTTAACAGCAGACATGACAAGAAGACAATAGCCTGCTATAGCCCGATAATCTAATGGAATAGAAGTTTTTGTTTGCCTTTCTGATACTTCTGCTTATTTTTACAATTTTCTTTTTATAACTCCTTAATGGCACAGGGAAATCAAGGTCCTGTATAAAAAGGATCTATTGATCCACATGGAATTCACCCAAAGGCCTTGGAATGGCTCTTCAGAGGGCTGACATTGTGAGTCGAAGTTTTCAGCAATAAGTAGTGTTAAGTAATTTTGCTTCCAGAAAGCTTCAACACTGTAATTTGGTGTGGAATAAGTTCAACTGCTGGGAGAACGGATCTACAACAGGGAAGTGCCTACTGCAGCAAAATGAGTGCAATTGGCTGCCGCGTTCGCCCACAAATATACAGTCAATTCACTTTACAGTGTGTTCTGTGAAGCGCTTTGGGACGTCCTCTCGACGTGAAAATCGCTATAGCAAATGCAAGGATTATTATTATTATAAGTAAGAACAATTTTAATTTTCCAAAATTGCATTCTTTGAGAATAAGGTATATTCAATTTTGATACAAACGCTTGAGAGCTTTCTTTTTCTTGCTTAATGAAGAACTGACAACTGGAATTGGGGTCACATCATGCTCTTCTACCACCACTGGCTCAGGTTCATTTTTCTTTTGCTCTTCGTACTCTTCCAATTTTTGTTTAAAGTATTCACTGTGTAACATAAGTCATATGTTAGTATTTTTGCATGAAACCATTGGAGCATCCAATAATGTTAAATTTGAGAGCATTGGTTTCCAATGATGTATGTGGACTGCAGTTATATCGATCAAAATGCTCCAAAAGTAGCTCCACAAGATACGGTTCTGAATTGTACTGATGAACCCAGATTTCAGTACAAAAGTAATGTAAACACAGCATTAATTGTTCCTAATGGTATAAAAACTCTCTCCTCTGACCACAGATGTTTGCAAAGGACATATCATTTCAAACACAGATAAGATTGTTTTCTTTTAGGAAATAACATTATGGGAATAATATATAGGTAGTTTGGGACATATGTGCATGCGACTGCCAGGAAGGTGGAAGGCGAACAAAGTGGACCTTGCTCTTTTTTTGCTTGCATTTCTTATGTTCTTATATCATTGTTTTTTATATAGAACACCGACTTATAGTGGTACACTTTTCATACCATATAATATCTAAGTTGAAAAATCTATTGATTTTAATTTTTTTTAAAGAAAATGCGAATTACATAGAATATACAGCACAACAACAGGCCATTTGCCCAATGGGTCTATGCTGGTGTTTATGCTCCACATGAGCCTCCTCCTGCCCTTCCTCATCTAAGCCTATCAGGATAACCTTCTATTCCTTTCTCGCTCATGTACTTATCTACCTTCCTCTTAAATGCATATATGCTATTTGCCTCAACTACTCCTTGTAGCAAGTTCCACATTCCCACCATTCTCTGGGTAAAGAAGTTTCTTCTGACTTCCCTATGGCACCTTCGAGTTCAAGATCCTCATCCTCACCTTCAAGACCATTCACGGCCTTGCTCCCTCCTACCTCTCCGACCTACTATCCCCCTATCTACCTGCCCGTACCCTCCGATCCTCTGGCTCCGGTCTGCTCCACATCCCCCGCCCCAACCGCCCTACCATTGGTGGCCGGGCCTTCAGCCTCTCAGCCCCGAGGCTCTGGAACTCTATCCCCCAGTGCCTTCGCAGCTTCCTCCCTTTCCTCCTTCAAGGCCGATCTCAAGACCTTTCTCTTTGATTGTGCCTTCAGCTCCCCTCTCGACTCTCTACCCCCTCCTCGCTCCCTCCCTTCCCTCCCCTCACCATTTCCCCCCTCCTCGCTCCCTCCCTTCCCTCCCCTCACCATTTCCCCCCTCCTCGCTCCCTCCCTTCCCTCCCCTCACCCTAACCATTTCCCCCAATGCTCGGGTCCTGACCCAACTGTCCAGTGCCTTGGGACGTTCTCCCGACGTGAAAGGCGCTCTATAAATGGAATCTTGTTGTTGTTGTTGTACTGATTAAAAATCTATTATGGTGCAGAAATAGTGAATTAAAGGAGTAATGAAGAATTGGAAAAGATAGATTCAAAGGATTATACCTCAACTGTTTGTCTATTTGTGCCTGGTTATCTGGCAAAATTCCTGTCAGCATGGAGTTTAGTGGATCATTAATCCATTCCAAGGCTATACGAGCAGATTCATATTTTTTCTCATTACTTGCTTCCCCAGTGTCGGATGATGTTGGGGAAAGGGCAGTGCAAAAACTGGGCAAGGTGGCGGTACATATACTCTGTAAAATGAATAAAAGGCATACTCTGTAAAATGAATCAAATAGTTTCAGAACATATTTTATACAATGTTACAGCACAGAAGCAGGCCATTTCAGCCATCAAGGTTGCATTCATTTTTTTTTCCCCATATGAGATATCTAATCCCACTCTAATTTTAAGCATAAATATACAGAAAATTTAGCCTTTTCCAGATTTGGACATCAACAGGCTCATATTTACATTGCCGAAGGCAGGACATTTTGATCAGAATTATTCAATTTCAGAGCTCAAATAAAGAAATTGACATCAAATAGATCAATGTGTGGAATAGGTTCAACATTCTATTTATATATTTATTATTTACTCCAGATAATTATCTATTTTTTGAACGAGTTGTTAGACTGAGGTTCTACTTGCTTTACGATTCAGATAGACATGAAGGCATCCGTTGACACGACAAAAGAGTTTCTTCCACTTATTCTAGCCACTTAAATACATTGATGCTTTTTGCTTCAAATAAGTATTTTTATTCATAATAGAATTATATTTATAATTTACATTGATAAAATTGTATTCCATGCCTTATGACCTATTGGAAAGGTATGGCATGTAAACTTACAAAACAGGGGATCATTTATTTGTTCAAGTGTCATGAAAATGCACTAATTTGTTGATAAACTAGTTCGTAGACAAACAATGCAAATACTGTACCATGATTCCTAAAAATCATATGTTCAGCAATACTTTTCAACATAGGTGTCGGAAGCACTCTGAACCCTGCTTTCCATCAGGGGCATGATATTGTTTATTGTGACAATATCACAATTTTACAGCAAAATATTCTATATTAGAATGTGTGTGACTGTTCTTTTTAAAACATTATTGCTAAATGTGGAATTTACTTGTAAAAACATGAATGTGACCAGCCTCAGCAAAAGTATCCGATTATAACCCAAATTGAATCCCTTATTTTCAGAGATCGATCCAAACCTTCTCAAAATTCCTAATGGTACATAGCAATTCGACTTGCACTGTTGCTTGACTGTTTGCATCCAACACTTCTTTTCCAACCAACCTGGTTATTGAAGGTGGGTTTGCCAATGCAGAGAAATAATCACCCTGCAGAACAAAATAAATTATTTCAGATATCCAAATATACCATTTAAAATGCTTTTGAAAATCAGTTGTAGCCTTAAGTAGCTCGGCATCATGCTCCGCCACTGTCAAGCACTTTGGGACGCTATTCTGCTTAAGGTGCGCTATATAAATGCAAGTTGTTGTTAAATCCATAAACAAAATATTGAAAATGCAACTGGCAGTACAATTGGCAATTGCCTATTCGTAAGCGCAACTTCTTTTCAAAGCTTTTAAATGTGCGTCTTTTCAGCTATTTTGCTTTTCAGATGTGGCCACTTCCACATTGATTTGATGAATCAACTTGTGTTCCAACGTGTGGGTTTGAAATGGATCGTGCGTGGCCTTATCATGTCAAAACAGATAAAATGCTGGTATACATGGAGCCAGTGGCCTTTGGGTTGGAAGTACTCGTTCTGAGATCTTGGCCTTGACCACCCTTCCTGGGAACCTGTTCCAGTCCTTAATCTCTCTCCAGGTGAAGAATCGTGCAACTTTGAATGCACAGAGCTACTGAAGTAAGGTCTACAGTGCCATCCCCTGAGCCAAGCTGACATGCACTCACGAGATTGACCCACCTGATCTCATCCCTCCAGTAGACACCTGTATCCCATAGTCCTCCCAGCACAAAGCATCCAGCTGCTATTTAAAAAAAGGTTCCAGTGTTCTGGAATCAACCACCCTTTCCCAGCAAGTATTTTATTTTGCCCACAAAACACACAGTCAAAACCATTTTACAGTACAGAATGCAATGATTATTATTATATCCTTTATATCCCCAGAGGATTGATTTCAAGATCCTCATCCTCACCTACAAGGCCATTCACGGCCTCGCTCCCTTCTACCTCTCCGACCTACTATCCCCCTACCTACCTGCCCGTACCCTCCATTCCTCTGGCTCTGGTCTGCTCCACGTCCCCCGCCCCAACCGCCCTACCATCGGTGGTCGGGCCTTCAGCCTCTCAGCCCCTCGGCTCTGGAACTCCATCCCCCAGTGCCTTCGCCGCCTCCTCCCTTTCCTCCTTCAAGGCCGGTCTCAAGACCTTTCTCTTTGACCGAGCCTTCAGCTCCCCTCTCGACTCTCTTCCCCCTCCTCGCTCCCTCCCTTCCCTCCCCTCACCATTTTCCTCCTGACGTGAAAGGCGCTTTATAAATGGAATCTTGTTGTATATCCTTTAATTTGCAGACATTTGTGTGTGTGGGCGCATGGTGGTGTTTTTTTTTCTCGTTTGTTTTTTGGAACCCACCATCTCCCTCCCACTCATCACCACACAGCAAATTACGTTTACACATCAGGAGGACGTCCCGAGGCGCTGGACAGTCAGGGATCCGCACCCAACCTGGTGGTTAGGATCATGAGGGATGGGGGCGCGAGGAGGGTGGGGGTTGGAGGGTGACCAAAGACACAGTCGAAGAGGATGGTCTTGAGAAAGATCTTGAAAGGGGCGGAGGGGCTGTGGGATGGAGTTCCAGAGGGTGTGGCCAGAGATGCTGAGGGCCCGCCCATCAATGGTGGGGCAAGAAAGGCGGGGGAGGTGAAGCAGGAGGAGAGGACAGGTTGGCAGGGGTTTAGGAGGTCACAGAGGTAGGGAGGAGCAAGGCCGAGGAGGGCTCTGAAGATGAGGACCAGGATCTTGAGCTGTATCCTCTGTGTGATGGGAAGCCAGTGGAGTTGGGCGAGGATGGGGGTGAGAGGGTCGCGGAGCCCGGTGCGGGAGAGGACACGGGCTGCAGAGTTCTGGATGATCTGCAGCCTGTGGAGGGAGGAGTTCGGGAGACCCCTGACGAGCAGGGAGTTTGCGGAAGCGCGCCTGGATGGGTGGACGAGGGTCTCGCCTGCCTGCGGTGAGAGATTATTATATCCTTTAATTTGCAGACATTTCTGTGTGTGTGTGTGTGTGTGTGTGTGTGTGAGGGGGGGGGGGGGTGTTTTTTTTGTTTCTTTTTAATTTTTTTTGCACCCCAACACCTCCCCCTCCCTCTACCCTGGCCCCTCCTCTTCCCTGCCCCCACTTTCACCCACTCCCCCTCCCTTCCTCCCTCCCCTGCCCCACCCCCACATTTCCTCCTCCCCTCTGCCCCTCCTCCCCTCTGCCCCTCCTCCCCCCTGCCCCTCCTCCCCTCTGCCCCTCCACCTCCTCTCTTCTGCCCCTCTCCTCCTCTTCTGCCCCTCCTCCTCCCCTCCGCCCCTCCTCCTCCTCCCCTCTGCCCCTCCTTGACCGCCTCCCCCCACTTCTCACACCCCTCTCTCTCTCCCCACTCCTCCCCAGACCCCCGATACCCCCCCCCCACACACACACACACGCGCGCGCGGGGGGGTGGGGGCGGCAAAAAAAAAAAAAATACCCACCAAGTGCCCGAAAACATCCCCCGGTTTCTGGCTGAACATACTGTTCAGCACCTTCTGCATCTCCTGCACCACCTGGTTGCCGCGGTAGTACTCGGCCGCCTGCTGCTTCAGCTCGTGCCGCTCCCGGGCCTCCCTGGGCGTCCGCCTGCCGTAGGGCACGAAGCCGGCGGGAGACTGGGCCGCCATCGCTTCGGGTTCAAGCCTCGGTCCCCGTGAGCAAAACCCCGTCCGGTGCTGCACTGTACAGGAGCGGATCCAACCGCCGCGTCTGCACCGACACCGTCTCTCTCCCTCTCACTCACTCACTCGCTCACTCACCCACCCGCCAGCGTCTCGTTGCTAAGCGACTACCTCATGGCGGGAGGGGAAGCCGTTGGCTCGTCACGTGGTCTTGCGTGCGTGCGTGCGTGCGCGCGCTGTCCACGTGCTCGCTCGCTCTCGCCCGCCCCGCCCAGCCAACCACTCTGCTCGTGTGTTTGTCACGTGGTCTTCCGCTCTCGCTCGCTCTGTCCCATATAAGGTGCCCGGCCGAGGGGGGGGGGGGTGGGACCGTCACGTGGTCCGTCACCCACCACCCCCTGTCACTCTCTCTCCCTCTCGCCCCGCCCCCTCACTGCACGTCACGTGGCTCTCCTCTCCTGTGGTGATACACTGTTGCGAACTGAATTGGTATCAATAACAATCATAACAATAATAATAATAACAATCATAATAATAACAACAATAATCATAATAGTAACAATAATAATCATAATAACAATAATAACAATCATAACAATCATAACAACAGCAATAATCATAATAGTCACAATAATAATCATAATAATAATCATAATAACAATCATAATAATAATAACAATCATAACAATCATAATAATAACAATAATAATAACAAATAACAATCATAACAATCATAATAATAACAATCATAACAATCATAATAATAACAATCATAATAATCATAATAGTAACAATAATAATATAACAATAATAATCATAATAATAACAACAATAATAGCAATAGTAATCATAATAATAACAATAGTAATCATAATAATAATCACGATGATAACAGTAATAATCATAATAATCCTTGCGTTTGATATGGCGTCTGATCACGTCTTCGAGACGCCTCAAAGCGATTCACGGAATACGCCGTAAAGTGTAGTGACTGACTGTATTTTGTGGGCGAGACCCGGCGGCCAATCGCGCACAGCAGGAGCGTCCCCCGCAGACAGCCGTGGATTGAAGTGACCAAATTATTATTATTACTATTATTATTATTATTTATTTTTTGGGAGAGTGGGAGGGGGAAACATCAACTATCATTTAAGTTAAAAAAAGAACTGCAAATATATCACGGTGAGTATTGTCCTTTTTCTCTTGAAATGCGATTGTTATTTATTCTGTTGAAACGGCTTCGCTAGTCGTGTCAGTGACGGCTTATTTTGAAGGTCAACGTGCCCAGGTCTTGTTACGCCAAGACCACCCCCAAAGCACAAACCACGTGCCCCTCCGCAGCTCTGGAGGTTGTACAGTGTTAGTGTGTCACAAAATTCTGCAGAATGCAATGCACTAGGATCTGCTCTCCCCCCCCCCCCACCCCCTGAATTGTAAGTCATTGGGAACGAACCTCTTAAAATTCATTTTAGTTGCCAAGATAATGTGCCTGGAAGGGATATGTCAGAATGATCGACTAGTGGGGAATCACAGATATGCACTATACAATTTTAAGATGAGCCTCTCACGTTTTACTTTACAATTCTCTGAAATACTTTCTGACTCCTGAATAGACTTAACCAGTGGATCCTGGTCAGTAAGAATTGATGAGAGAGATTGACTCAAAATTGCTTTCACCGCATAAGGGATTATCACTTCACTGTTACGCTATTCAGATGAATGCTCCGGCAATACCTTGTGGACCAAGTGATAAAAGGTTTTCCTTGGGAATCTTATTTAATGCATTCTGGTGACAGTATCGCTTACTCTGAGGAATTCAGTAGGTGAAGCAGCAACATCTCTTGTGGCGCAAAGCTAGTGACCCAATGTGCACTTGTGCGAAGACCAAAAAAGATTGAAGCTCTCCGTTAAGTCTACCACGTGAAAGATGAACAACTTGGCAAGAGGCTCTTTTGGGCTCTTCTGGTATCAATTGGTCGCTCTCTTGCCTATCGGTCAGAAGTTTGTGGGTTCAAGCCCATGTCAGGACTTTGAACTTACATAGTGTAGACTGACGCTCCAATGCAGTGCTACGGGGGATGTTGGCTGCATTGTTGGAACGTGCTATCCTTCAGATGAGATGCTAAAGCGAGGTCCCATGTGCCTTTTCAGGTTGATGTTGAAGATCCCATTCTGTTATTCGAAAACGTGAAGGGAGTTTTTCCCCGTGTCCTGGCCAACAATCCACCAAATAAAATTGGTTACTCACTTCACGGCTATTTGTGGGACATTGCTGTGCACAAATTGGCTGCTGGGTTTTGCTTATAAAATACACGGTTATTGTACTTTACAGTAAATCCTACAAAGCTCTTTGAAACGTCTTCACAATGTGAAATGCAAATGCCAAGATTATTATATAAACACAATAGATTTTTTAAGAATAAGGACATTGGCTTAAGAGGCTTAACAGGCTGTTCCCTTCACCCATTTCACTGTATCCCTCAATTTCCAAATATACACAGTAGCCTCTTAACCCCATTTATATTAATCTCTTCAAAACGTTATTGCTGTTATTACCATGGGGATAAAAGAGCTTCCACCTAACATTCATCCTTACTCCTAACTTCTGAACTTTTAATCCGTATCCCTTAGTATTTGAACCCTTTATTGAAGTCGATATTAATAAAAAAAAAATCCACGTATTTGATATAGCGCCTTTCACTTCAGGAGGACATCTCAAAACACTTGACACGATTTACTGTGAAGTGTGGCTGCATATTTTTGTAGGTGAAATAATTTCCTTCTATCAGTCACTGAATCTGCTTAATGGTCTCAACAACTTCAATTAGGTCAATCGTTTTTTCAAAGGGACCACGTCTTGTTCCAACCACACGATTTCACTCGATTTCTTTAGCTACGTTACTACCGTGATCAATTTTAATGAAACCAGTCTGTTCTTTGTGTGTGCAGTTGAAAGTGTTATCTCTGTAGCAGCTATTATACCCCGCTGACCTCGGTCAAACAGTCTAGAATCCTAATACATGTTGTGATGAACTGTGAGCAGTTTACATAGTTCAATAGTATTTTGAAATTAGATCCTGACTTTTCCCTTTTGTACTTCAGTATGTACATTATCAATGTAATGTCATTAGTCACTTGTTATTCCTAATAATCAAATGACAACCATGCCAGTTTCCCTTTAGCTGTCTTTTTTTTTCCTTCTCTATTTAATAACAATCCTTTCATTCGATATAATAACAACAGCTTGCATTTATATAGCACCTTTCGTACAAGACGGCGCCTCGGAGCACCTAACAGTGGCAGAGCCCGATGCCGAGCCCTGGGGAGGGTGAAGGTGACCGTAGGCACGGTCTAAGAGCAAGGTCTTCAAACGTGATGAAAATGGGGAGAGAGGGAGCAAGGCAAAGGGATTGAGGGAGAGAGTTTCACAGCTTCAGGGTTTAATGGCTGAAAGCACGGCCGCCGATGGTGGGGTAGCAATTTTGTGGTACAAGGAGGAGTCAGTCGAGGGAAGGCAACAGGTAGTGATGCAGGAAGAGAGCATTTGAAGAGAGAGGGTGGTGGTGCAATGTCTCATAAACAGCCATGCAGTGAGTTACCAATTTTATTTGGGGGATTGTTGGCCTGAACGCTAGGAGAAACCTCCTTTCCTTTGTCAAACAGTATCATGAGATCTTTAACATCTGCCTAGACAGCAGATGGGACCTTTGGTTAAAGATTCATCCAAAAGATGGCATCTCTGACAATGCAGCAAACCCCCAGCATTGCATTGGAGTGTTAAGATAGACTAAATGTGTTCCAAGTCTTGATGCGGGGTTTGAGCCGACAATCATGTGAGTCAGAGGCAAGAATCCTACTAACTGCGCCAGGCACAAATTTGCCATACACAAATCGCTTACAATACAGTCAGAACTATGCCACTGACATGCATAACAGGCCAAAAATAGCCTCATGCTAATGGGAAAATAATGTTTCAAAAGGATAGATTTCCCAAGATAGCCAGAGGAGGGATAATAATGGTAAGGGCTAATGAGAGAATGAATGGAACAGCAGAGCGGGGTGATAAATAAACAAATATCCTCCCATTGCAGTAAATCCTGTGAAGCTTCCATAGCTTCCATAGCTTCACAGGATTTACTGTAAACCTCAATGACTATTTTGTAAGCGATTTGTGTTTGGCAAATTTGTGCCTGGCTCAGTTGGTAGCACTCTCGCCTCTGACTCACATGATTGTGGGTTCAATCCCTGCATCAAGACTTGGAACCCATTTAATCTAGCTTAACACTCCACTGCAATGCTAGGCGTCTTTTGGATGAAACATTAACCTGAGATCTCGGCTGCCTGTCCAGATGGATGTTAAAGATCTCATGATACTGTGGCACTGACATGAAAAACAGGCCAACATAGCCTCATGCTGTGTCGTACGTTTCTATGGTTCTAGGTTTCTCTGATTTCTGCCTATCTTATAATAATCTCTTTGTAGCTCCAATTCTAACCGTTAAAAAATGTGCCAATTGTATTTGATAATTGCACTTTGGTATATTCGCATCAAACCGATTATGTCAGAAGAATGCTGCATAGGGAGGTGTGAAACACAGAATTTGTTTCACTCATGACTTATCTATGACTTAATTACTCAGGATTTTCTCACTTAGGGAATACATTTTTCTAGTCCACAATTTATTCTGTAACTAGGTCATGAGACTTCGTGTATGCTTTTCACAACCAATGGAGTCCTACATACCTTATTTTAGCTCCAAATGGACATCAAACAAAAACACAAGAGTTCCCTTATAATAGTCTTTCAGCTCGTTGATGGTTTTTTTTTTACAATGTGCCGCAAAGCAACGTCAAATGGTACCTGTTCGTGCAAAAAGCTTTTCGCACCTACTGGTAATAACACAGCCACGGACGTTTTCAGATTGAAAGATGTAAGCACGGAAATCAGCACAGGGATGGAAGAAACTGGACGCTGTAAAATCGGAAATACAATCAGAAAATGCTGAAAATACGTAGCAGGTAGATCAGGATCTGAATGCAAAGATTGGGTTCATATTTCAGGTGAGACCCTGCGTAAGAACACTTAACAGGAGTAATTCCACTTGGGTTTTACTTCATTTTTTTAGCATTTTAGCAATTTAGCAAATTGCTGCCTTAATCAGTCTTCGTT